TTGAATAGATATATATGCTGAAGTGAATATCTACTATACTGATGACAAGTGAAATGAATACTATAGTCTTGATGTGAATCCTTGTTCAAGAAGCTCTATCTTCCCAGCAATCCTGTAGCTATTCCTGCAGGTTCTTCCTGTTGTCAAGTTCATATATCATTAGTATTATAACATTAATTAATTGTTCTGTGTTTTTGAAATAAAATAATTCATTACACACTTGATATATGCAAGATTAATACCTTCTCTTAGCTGGAAACCTCCACTAAGTATTGCAATTTGATTCCAAGCATAGCTAGCCTAGCTAGGTAAAAAATACTTGCTGTACCCAGTTCTGAGATCTGAGCATGCGCGACCACGCCCAAATTTTGCGGGACCACGCCCAAATTTTGGAGCACATGCCACATGCTTCTTTAATTAATAAAATGGCGGCATGAGGTAAGCTGGTGCGATCCAAAAGTCACAGTATCACTTCTTCCTTTCTTGGAGAATGATTCTAGGGGACAAGGACCTGCGCATACCCTGTTGGAGTAGAATGGTGTAAGAATTAGCCTTCTATCACCAGGCAAGATCGACATATCGACCGACAACTGGATTGATGGGACTTTCCTGATGATGAAGATGAAAAAAGGTGGCTGAACAAAACGGCCGGTTTGCAGACTTTTGATTTTTCTCCCAGAAAAGGTCTAGAGCCACGCTATTGGTACCATTGGAGTCCTCTGGTCAAGATAAGGTCCTCTAAGAAGTCTGGTAAGCATAGGAGCTCGTTTTCCCGGTATAGCAAGGCTGCAAAAGTCGTGGCAGCCATTTTGTTTGGGGGTGAATCCTACTTAGTAACGCTACCGCGTTACTAATATATCTTTTAAGTCTTATTTCAAATTCCTTTCTTGTATCAGAAGAGATTGCCAAGTTTCTAAAAGCTAAGGGCCAGACAATGTGGCCACATGCTTGATCACATGATATTGTAAGTATAGGTATACAATGTACATGTGTGCCTTCATGCAGTAAGGTTGTTGGATACTCCCTTTAGGTATTACTGACAGTAATAAGCCATTTAAACTGTCAACCACAAAAATTAAAACCATGAGTTTTCAGACTAGAAGCAAACCTCAGACAGGAAAATAACCCCTATACAATAGATTACTTGATACTACTGTATGTACATAAAGTACATGCATCAATTCAAACTGTATTTGATAGCATTATAATAATGTGGGAAGACAATTGTATAATCTGACAAGCTACAGTTTCAATTCTGGTTTTTTATAAGGTTGTGGACAGGTACCATGTATAGTGACAACCTAGCTACAGCGACAACTTGGCAGCAACAACCTCGTCCATATAAAATCATGCAGTGACCTTGGTATTTTTATATCGAAATAATTACCATTTAGCAAATACATGAACTAACACAATAATGGTATGACATCTTAATGATCAATGCATTCACTTATGGCATAACAACATTGCATTACTGACAGAATCCAACACAGTTAATTGTTGTGACTAAAGTACATATAGCAGTTATTATGTCAGAGTGATATAACAATAAGAACACTGAGCCATGTACATTGCGTATGTAAACTGTTAACCACACCTTATTTATATCAACATTAGTATTCCATTCAGTAGTTCTATGAGTCTCATGATATAGCACTCGCCATAGAGTTTCTACTGCAATATTGATGACAACCTGAAAGCAAATCATTAGTAATTGTATGAATGATTTCAAATTTAATTCAAAGTACTTCGCTTTTCCATATTTTCCTGGAGTTGCTTTCAGAGCGATAACTGAAACATCTAATTCCATTCTAATGTAAATGTAGCAAAGCTATTGAAACATTGCAAACAATAATTATACTTCTTCTTTTTCTAATATCCATCCATTATTGGATCTAGTCATTTGCTCAAGTTTTTCTACGGCATTCATTGCATGTAACTTATGCCCCTCATTCTGTGAAACAAAAGGAAATTGTTGGTGGTAAAAATTAAAAAAATAATACCATATTTTACATGTTATGTGCACTCTATAATAAAAATACAGTACATGCACATAGCTAATAAAGTGACATACTTCATTCGAAAACTGATCACACTCTGGCAGTGGAGTAACACAGGGGAATATGTCTATCTTCCCGAATAAGTACTATATCTTCATTTTCAAGTGGAGCAGGTGAACCTACAAGTACATGCATGCACAAA